TATTGCATTCTGTGACTTTTAATCGCAACAATAAATCATCAGTTAAATTTCACAAAGAGAAGAACATAACAATATCTGCTAAATAAGTGCTTTCATATCTTTTCGCGAGATGTGACTGAATTGTAAAATGAGAGGGTTGAACAATGCATCTAAATTAATCAATATTCAAGCCCTCAACTGGTAACATTGATTACGAGTTTATTTCTCTCTTCTATAACGCTTTTCTACTCATCTTGTTAATAACAATTACGGAAACTTAAAAAGTGACGGTAATTACTTGACGTAGTAGAATATCAGTAAATTTCGGAGCGTTACTGAGCAAAGAGAAGCTGTCGAGTGGAAAATGTAGAATAAATGGAATAGTGAAATGGCCTGTTAACTTTATATACTGGTTCTACGTTCATCGATCGTTTTGTTACTCAATTATAAACTTCTTGCGCGAAAGCGCAAATTACGCCGTCCGCATTTTGCAGTGGTGGAAAAGTAAGTTATGCGGGCAGCACGTCCGCTGCAAACGTGCCTAATCGTGTCAAAACAAACAAAATATGATTAGAATAGTCGAGTGGTGCGGGAGAAAAATTTCGAAGTAAATTTTTTATGAAATTTAGAAAGCGTCATTTGTATAGATCCCAGGAGTTCATTCGGCGAAGAAGGTAGCGCTTAGTTTCGATAGCTTTTAGTAAGGATCCGTTTCATGATAGCATTTCCTTAGACTTGCGACGTTTTCGTTTTATTCATCCTTGCAGAAGTCGAATGTGTGTAAAGTTTACCATTAGTCTACATGTTATTGATACGTTACCTGTATACGATGAGATATAATTAAATTTAAAATAGAAACAATTACCTACCTACCTACTCTTTCACTTTCCAGCCTCTGACCATTGGGAAAACGACCAAATTATGGTTAACTGCTGATTCCCATTGGACCAACAAATATGTTCCTTATTATCACTGAAAAAATTCGACCAACTTTTTGGCAGTGACATTTCAAGAGAAACCTGTTGCCAGACACCCTGCCTTCGTTTACCGCGAGTGTGGTTCTTCAGATTATGGGGAAGATACCTACCCCCCTCACGACATCAATGCGTTGTATGTCATTAGTGCATTTTAAGGCTCGAGTTAAGTGTTACAGCAAACCGTAATTAATCGCTTGATCCCCCCACCCCTTCCCCAAGATATAAAATCAGTTGCACAGTAAATAAGAGATCGTTAACAAGCCAGAAACTGAACCGTAATTAGCTGCAGTCAACCATAATTTGTCCGGATAGTCCAGTCATATGAACCCTAAATGACGTAGATGCTTAGCAGCACCCGAAGGGGTAGACAACCCGCACATAAAAGGCTCAGATTACCATAAAAACTTTATGTGACTTAGTAACTTACCTTTGTAGCTAATTATGCAAGTTTAGAGCTAAAACGCTGAAAAAAATCAAAGAAAACCAAATAAATATTGAAATCGGATGGTTAACCCCTAAGTGGGTAGGCAACCCCTACTCAAATGAGCTTACCTGTGCCCCAGTGATTGACCCCAAATATTCTAAATGTCTTTTTGCAACTATGGAGCGTAGTAGAGATAACTTGCATATACGTCACAAATAGAATGCGAAAGTCTTCTTGATACAATTTTTTTGATTGAATTTTTCATTCTGTGACAATACGCCCCAGTACTGAAGAAATCCATGACTTTTTCCTGAAAGCTACAACAAAAGTGTGTTAGTTAAATTGCTTAATAAAAGGCCACCGAATTTCGCCTCACGGACTTGTGGAATATGGAAAGTTCTCCGTTTTTTTTTGTTCCCAAAACCTATAACAATGAGGACGACTGAACGTTTTGGGTTATAAGGAATAAGCTCCCCCTTCCCTCTCTTCGGGACACTACACACAGACACTCGGATGACCAAATTGTCTTGGACCCACTAACTTATAAATTAAAATGGACTGCTGATCAAACAGTTGCATAGAGGTAAAAATGGCCCTAGCATGGGTGCGGCCATGATGTGCACGTTTTAGTTATTTTCTAGGGGAATTTTACTGTTGCAGCCTTGGAAAATGACATGTGTCACAGTAATTTATTTAGAAAACGTGAGGTTAATGCTTGTTTATTAGTAGATTAGTAGATTTGAATTTCGCGCCAAGTGAATGCACATCATGGCTGCCCCCATGTGAGTGTCATTTGTCAATTCAGCATTAGCAGTCCATCTTAATTATAAAAAAGTTCGTGCTTTGACCCCAATAGCAAAAGGACAGAGAAGACAACGCTCCTTCCCCTATCGTGCAACGCTTTAAAGAGGAGAGGCTGGAGGCATACCCAAAATGAGGCAGTTCCAAGGAAACGAAAGCTGGGTCAAAGGTAAAATGACCGCTTAACACCCAAAGTCAGTCTGGTAAAGGAGCGAAAGCACCTAATCAGAGACTCCCTGGCAAACCGCCGCCGTTGCGGCAGAAAATGGCGCCTCATGCGGGAAAGAAAGTTTCAAGGTTCATTACAGATATTATACGATTTTGGGGGGGGGGGGGGGGCACGCAATACCCCACAAGACTACGTTATGACAGAATGTATGGTAAAGGGGGAGATTTTCCACACGTGGAAGTGTGTGGACGTCGTGGAGGGGCACATTTCGGGAGGATCTGGGAGATATGGCCCCCCCCCCCACCACAGTAAGGATACCCCCAGTTGCTTTTGTCGTAAGCAAATGTTGCATTGATAGTCCGGTAGTCTGGGGAGTGTGTGGAATACCTTCCAGCACTCAAGAAGCATCGATTACCTTTCTTTAGAGTGCTGGGGGTATTTGCTGCTGGGGGGGGGGGGGGTTCCATATCGTCCAGATCCCTAGGACTCACGTTCGATGGCTCCTTTGTATCAAAATGACGGTGAAACTGTACGTATTTTGGGGAAGCATGTTGAAAAGGGGGGGGCCTCTGGGGGTATGGTGAAATCGATTAACTTTTCCTGAAAACTAGTACAAAAGTGCTAGAAGATAGTTATTGATTCTTCCTTTGTTAGACAGTATTTTTGGGGGTATTCCATACCCCTCCCTCTCTCCCCCCAGACCCGCCGGTGCTACGATCGCCCACGTAACGTTTACGCTTGGCTCACATTCGATGGTTCCTTTCTAAACAGTATGCTGTAAGTGCTAAAGGCGCTAAATATTTTGGGGGAGCATGTAGAACCGGGGAGGGGTCTGGGGGGGTCACATCACTCCATTATACGAAAATCTTGATACTAAGAAAAGAATGATGGATATTTGTTTCCTGGGGGGAAAATGTAGAACCGGGGGGCCTAGGAAACCATACCCCCCAGCCATTCCCTCTAGCACATTTGTGATCTTATGATAGCTGTAGGAAAAGGAACGTCAAATCTTTTCTTTTCCCTGGGAGTATTCCATACGCCCCCCCCCCCCAAGACCCCTCGGTGCTACGATCTCTCTTAAAACGTTCAACATCGAGGACTCGCATTCGATGGCCCCGTTCTATCAAAATGACGGTCTGTTAAAAGCAGTACGTATTTTGGGGAAGTATGTTGAATCGGCGGTCTAGGGGGGGAGGGGGTATGGCGAAATCGATTAGCTGAAAAGTACGACAAGAGTGCTAGAAAAGAGCTATTGATTCTTAAAAAAGTATTTTTGAGGAGTATTCCATACCCCTCCCCCTCTCGGTGCTAATTTCTTTTCCAAAAATTAGCTCTAGCATAGTTGTCCCAGACCAGACTCCCCGATGTTACGGTCTCCCACATTACGTTTACCACGGCTCATAATCGATGGTCCCTTTCTAAAAATTATCCTGTAAGTGTCATAAATGCTAAATATTTTTGGGGAGCATGTAGAACCGGGTTGGGGGGGGGGGGTTAGTATTTTCCTAGCACATTTGTGATCTTATGATGTTTGTAGGAAATGAAACATGGAATCCTGTTTGTTTCCTGGGGAGTCCATACCCCCCATACCCCACGGTGCTACGGTTTTCCTCAAAACGTTCAACCTTAAGGACTTACGTTAGATGACCCCAAAATGACGGTAAAAGTGCTAAAACCAGTACATAATTTGGAAAAGAACATAGAGCCGGGAGTCTGGGAGTAAAGAATACCCCCCCCCCCCCAAGCCATTCCTTCTAGCACATTATTTATGATCTTATCATACACTTGTAGAGAAAGGAACATCGAATCTTTTCTTTTTCCTGGGCGATATTCCATACCCCTCAGACCTCTCAAAACGTTCAGGCCTAAGGGCTCACGTTGGATGGCCCCTTTCTTTAAAAATGACGGTGAAAGTGTTAAAAACAGAACATATTTTGGGGAGGAACGTAGAACCGGTGATCTGGGGATGACGGAATCGTTGGCTTTTCCTGAAAACTACTACAGGAGTGCTAGGAGAGAGTCACTGATGCTTCCTTTGTTAGAAAGTATTTTTGTGGAGTATCTATATCCCCCCCCCCTTTTTAAAATAAATTGAATAGTTCCTCCTCACGGTAATTTCTTTCCCAAAAATTTGATGGGGATAATGGTGATGGCAGGGAAGATCATTAAATTCTTATTTACCCCACGGTTCTCTCTTTTTATCAAAAATTGCCTTTATTGCCTTCTTGATACCTTTTGGGAAGTGACAATTGAACGTAGCACCAGCGACATGTGGGATATGGGAATAAATCAAAATTGGACGGTACTTTTTGGAAAGTACCACGAGAGACTAAAGTATTGAGAGGGAGAGATGGAATACCTCCCGACAGAGACAAAAGGAGTAATCGAGAGCGAGATTTCCAAAAGTATACGGTCACAAAGTGTAGTTTGTCTCTTTTTGCAATTAATTTTTCAATTCGATTGCTTTGGCCGCGAAACTGCCGATGGGCTAAAGGCACCGCGAAATTTCCTCTCTGAATGCGAAAAGAAGGAAAAAAAGTGATTTAAAACAAAAGCTCCGGCCGGATAAACTTTAAATCATATGCACGCAACCTGTAGATAGGAAAATACGCAAGCGTGTAGAGTTGCTCCACAAATTTTACATTTCCACTCCGGGAATGTCGACCTGTATCCGCAGTTTCAATTTCAAAGCTGGTCGTCGCGTCGGTGTAATGGGCGTCGTGACGCCTGCCGTGTTGGTAAAGTTGCGTGCAGTTAATATTATACAATTGCAATATTTTGACCAGAAGGAAACCTTTATATTAAACTAGGTAAGATTTTTCTTGCTTCACGAAAACTCTTCCACAAAATGGCATTTATTTGATTAACATTTCCATACGCGTAATTATATTCCACATTTTCCAAAAGCTCGCGAACGAAATCGAGAACCAATTGGACGTGCAACTTACGTATTGATTTCAGTAGCAACATTTTTTATTGCTTCAATTAATTGAAGCTTACAATAACATTAGAGGAGTCTTCGACGCCTGTTACCGCGCCGTTAGCGATATGATATGAGCCGATCTCCATGAGAATGGTTTTACAACGTATTATTCATATTAGCATTGTATATTTACATGTTTTGCTTTGGTATAAATTTCAAATTACTCCCACTTCCACTCATTTGATGTAATTGCTTCGAGGGTTAATTTAGTGTAGCTTGTTTAGTACCTACAAAATTGCCGAACAATAGCTTATTTGTGTATACCAAGAGAGCAAAGATGGGCGTTTGACAAAGAAACTTTATGCGACTATCTTTTGAAAGGGAAGCATCCGTGCACATAAAGAGCCTAATTGTGACAATAGGAGAATACCTTTAACTTATAATGAAAATTGATTTTGTTTTCAAATCGCCCAAGAATCACAACGTGGGAATCAATTTAATTTTAATTAATTTTACGACTTATAAGGCTACGGCCGCTGTTTCGTGACATCGAGAGCATAAAGACAAAGTCATAATTTACATACTCCATTTTTGAAATGGCCATGATACGAAGGTGATTTAGGGGGTACAATTTTCGACGTTTTTCTCGGCTTTATACTTCTTTGCCTGCTACAGACAATAAAAAATAAGCGCAGTCGTAAAATTACTTAAAAATCGAGGATGGATAATAAATAAACATCTTGTGGTGTACTTGATTATTAAATACGAGCGTCGCATAGACACTTTTATGTCACTTTTTGTTAAAGTAGGCAATATTTTTTATCTTTTAAGGCTTTATTACCCCGGAGCATTCATAAATATTGTAAACGAAATTTATATTTATGATTGCTAGGGGACAAGAGAAACTTCGTGCAACTACCAATTCCCTTTTATTCCTTACAGGCTGACGCAATAAAATCCCGTAATTTTACAAATAATGTCACTGTCACTATATATAATTATATTGATATTTGTTTGGAGGAAATGAAGCTTGACTAATTTAACCTCTCCAAGATTATGAAACGTGGGAGAATCCCCAAGTATACGAATGCATTTTTTCAAACACTACCATCAAAATGCTAGAAGTAATAGCGATGAGTTATCGAGTATTTCGTTTCGGGAGTGGGGGTGTTTCTATACCCCACAAATATCCCGTTCCCGTTCTTCTCTACAAACGTATGTTGACACTCGCACGAATTTTGGAGAAAAGGCCATCGAACGTAAAACCACCAAGCCGGTGAGGTTCCTCTGTTCTTTCTAAGTAGCAGAGAGTCTTAAAGGCTGAAAACGAAGTACTGAGAGACCCCCCCCCCCCCCGCCTGCATACCTCTTGCACAATCATGAAAGAAATCGAACAGCAAGCCTTCTAGATCCCTCAATTGATCTAGGTGTACGCCGAGGCAAAGCAATTTTCGGCGATTTCCCAAATGGAAAACGCAAAAGTTTTCATCGAGAAAACGCCGACAAAGTTTCAAATAAACTCATATTTTTTGCAGAAAAAAATAGAAAACACGCGGATACCGATTTGGGCTTTGCCTCTCCCAAACTGAAATTTGTCACCGTCCCTCTTCCGATGAAAATTATCTGCCATCTTCCTTTTGGATTTTCGCTATGTGCCCGTTGCAATTGCTTCAAAGTAGAATATATAGGAAAACAATTACAGAAATTTATCGTACGGTATATATCTGCCTCGCCCAACGTGTTCCAATAATGAATCTGCCCCTGCCGTGCGTGTAGAATAATAAAGAATAAAGTTACGGTGGTAAATTATACGCGATTTATAGTTGATTGAATGGGAAGGGCTATTTTGTACATTAAATGTACTACCTACCTACCTATCCGCACAAACTTTCACGTAGGGTCGAAATGTTTATTATTCGAACATCTACCCCGAATATCGATCGATAACAAGTAAATTTTGATTTGTTTTCAGTCATGAAGTTTACCCTGATTGATAAATATTTAATCATTTCCGTGCTAGTACATCGTTTGACGTGATTGTTACCGTAAAAATTACAGCTCATCGTCCAACTTGTCATGGGTACTTTACCTGTACATTTTAATATATTCGGATCCATGCCGGCGTTAATTATTTACGTTTAATCAATGTGGAGGGTGTCCCATTTTCGACACTTTTATAAAGTGCATGTCAGTAGTCATGTTCTCTTTTTGGGTCAAATTTAAAATGGTAAAAAAAATTTGAAAATATTCGCTCGCTTGCAAGATATAGGGAGAAATAAAAAAAATATGGTTTACAAAATAAATATACGGGGGGTCCGTTAACTTGGCCCCCCCACTGAGAGATTTCATAGTCGTATTATTTTGAAATGAATGCGCTCGTTATGCGCCACCGATAATAACTCTTGCGCCATTATCGTTTTTTAGAAATCCTAAAAAACATTTGGGGGGGGGGGGCCAAGTGAACGTAGCCCCCCCAGTACGTATTTTGTCCCTTGTAACTAGGTCACCTGATACATTTGGTTATGCGCTCAATTGCGCCACTTGAATTAGAGCTAGCGCCATTACGGTTAAGCCGTGACAAATTTTCATAAAGTGGGGGGGCCAACTTAACGTTTTTAAAAGTTACTTTTTTTTAACATCTTTTCATACGAAATTGTACTCTCAGGTATGCGCTGAAATGCGCCGTAAAAAGATATCTTTGCGCCATTATTGTTTTTTGGTTATCCTTAAATATATTTGGGGGGGGGGGCCAAGTGAACGGAATCCCCCATAACGCATTTTGCTACCGGTATTTGTGCCACTTGATACATCTGGTTATGAGCTCAATTGCGCCACTTGAATTAAAGCTAGCGCCATTACGGTTAAGCCATAAAAAATTTTTAAAAAGTGGGGGGGGGCTAACTTAACGTTTTCAAAAGTTACGTTTTTTAACATGTTTTTTCTACTACATCGTACCTTTCATCATGCGCTAAAATGCGCCGTAAACAAAAATCTTGGCGCCATTATAGTGTTTCAGAAACACTATACAGGGTGTTTTTTTGTGAGCTTTAGTTAAACGATTATGGGAAAGTAAAATAGGTAGGATTTTAAAAATTTGCATTCAGGAGTTACTCCGAAGGCCGAATCGATGTAAAATATTTTCAAAATGGACGCACTTCCGGAAATAACTTTTGAAAACGCTAAGTTAGACCCTCCACTTTTTAAAAATTTTTTATGGCTTAACCGTAATGGCGCTAGCTTTAATTCAAGTGGCGCAATTGAGCGCATAACCAAATGTATCAGGTGACCTAGTTACAAGGGACAAAATACGTACGGGGGGGGGGCTACGTTCACTTGCCCCCCCCCCAATGTTTTTTCGGATTTCTAAAAAACGATAATGGCGCAAGAGTTATTATCGGTGGCGCATATGAGCGCATAACGAGCGCATTCATTTCAAAATAATACGACTATGAAATCTCTCAGTGGGGGGGCCAAGTTAACGGACCCATATACGGGGTCGGGTGAAAAAAGTTATTGGACCTAAAATAAAATAAGGTTTGGTCCAATAAAGTCTAAAATGATAGCATATTAAATTCACTTTTAAAAAATTAATTAATTTTGATTAAAAATGCTTTTAAAAAAATTCAAATTTTAAAATTCACATTTTTTTAAGAATTGAAAAAATGTGCTCCGGACCCACTTCTGTCGTGTTGAACTACTTTTAGGGGAATTGTCATAAAGCCCCGGAATTTATTGCAATAGGTACCTTATACTTTGAAGGTGTGCCAGACGTGCATCAAATATCGCTGTCTTAACCCCCCCCCCCCCCCCCCCCATAAATCATTTCCTGAGATGCTGTTTTTGAAAGTAAAACTTACATGCGATAACCAATTCGTTCCAGATTTTGCAACTCCTTTTCGAGATCAGTGTCTGGAGGGGATGGGATTTCTACCAACCATAGTCCTCCTCTTCGACCCCTTATCCTAATCCGTCCTTATATCTCAAGGGCGGATTATCGAAGGAGGGTACTTACAAAGAGCGATTGGGACGTATGGCAGAAATATACTACTAGATCACAGGTTCGGCTTTTCACATCGGGTCCCCCGTACTAATTAATTTGGACGGTGCCTCTCCACCGCCCTGATGACCACCTTGCATTCTGGGTTGGCTATTGTCCACGGGGCATGCCCCCCCCCCTACCCCCCGGTGGGGTGTCAATCGCGACAGCTCGATTCCCTTATCCCAATTCCGTTTACAGGTTTCTGCTTCCGCTAGCTAAGTAGGAATAATTTGCTCCCTTCTGTAATCTGTTATCTGTAGATAGGGCCACTCCATCCGCTCCGGGAAAGTGCGGATTACACTTGTAAGTTGTTGTCCAGTTTATTGTCAATTTTGGTTAAGACTTAAAATTCAATAAAAGTTTTTACCCAAAATCGTCCTGAAACCTTAATTTTCATACCTCCTTTCTATCAGGAAATTATGACAGAGGCAGAGCAGACTAGGTTTCCTGCCGCTTGTCACTTTACCGGCCGCACCGTCACTTTACCGGCCGCATTTGTGACATTTCCAAATGTCTATAATGAGTCCTGTCATCACTGACAGATTGACATTAATCAAAAGTTCTATACAAAAATTGAAATTTTATATTTAAATACGATTTCGGGTAAAATTTAATACAAAACTCGCCAGTAAAATTCCATTATCTGACTCGGCCCCAAAGAGGCCTCGCACTTCAATATTTCCTCGCCAGTAATGTATCCTTTTCGTGACATTTATGTAAATAAGTATTTTTTCGCGGTTCTCACAACTTTGTTCGTGATTTTACCACGGTTCACACTACAAATTTTAAAAAGACAAAGGTTAAAAAGACAACGCTCTGAAACACGTCTGTCAGCACCTCATAAAAAAGGACACACTTATTTCCTGATACCTACTGTCAATGTTTTTTTTTGTAAATATCTTTCTAGGGTTACGAATCCTTGTATATGCATTCGCGGTGCAGTAACTTAATACGAAAGTTTTTAATACCTTCATTCGCGATAACGGCAAAGCATATCTCGGCGCGTTTAAACCATCACGTCCATGGTCTAAAGCTAAACTGCGTTGTTTTTTTTCTTGTCGATGGCCTATATTTATTCCTTATATTGCACCATAGTTCGTTGCTGTAGCGTCGTAAAGGAACGCTTTCACGCAACCCACTGGGTGCTGTGTTCTCACACCCGAAAAAATTCCGTACCTTATTATTCAGGGTTACTGTTCCGGGCCACTCTAGAACCACGTAATTAAAAACAATTTCGCCTACTTTAGCCCGGAATAGACGACGCCCACGTTTTCACGTAATAACCAAACGTTTCACCCTGAACAGTTCAAGTTCTTTATTTGAATTGAATTCAAAAGTCTCCGAAAACGCACCTTTGACCCGGGGACACCTTTCAAAAATTTCATTCTGTAAGAAATATTTTTAGCGCATTTTTGAAGAATAAGAAATGTCCTATTGTTTTTTTGTCAATCCGTCCCACCTCTGCGATTTTGTACTACTTGCCAGACGGCCATCAAATTTTGCCGTCTGAAGCCCCCCCCCCCCCCCCCCCCCATGAATTATTTCCTGAGATGCTGTTTTTGAATGTAAAACGTGCATGTAAAGCACTCTTATATTGCGGGGGTTCTTACTTTATGTAGTACACCGAACATTTTTGTTTCTTTGATAGATTATGTTTAAATAATCTCTAACCAACCCCTAAACAACCCTTTAATAATAAATTTCCGCCTGCTTCAAGTTAACGGAATTTTTTAAGTCATTCATACCTGTATGTAAAGCACCCTTATATTGAGGGGGTTGTTCCTTTACGTAGTACACCGAACATGTTTGTTTTTCTGATAGATTATGTTTAAAATCTGTAACCAACCCTTAAACAATTTTACATGCGACAACCAACTGGTCTCAAAATTTGCATACGGACGCCTTTATAAATGCCAAGTATTATTTTTTTAAGGGGGGGGGAGGGAGAATAAGCACACGTTCTACTCTTCATGGTATTCTAATGAAAGGTCTCACCGAAATGAATTGGTTTGTACTAGACCTGCGCGTCTCCTTTCCGAGATCGGTAGGTGGCCGGAGGGGATGAGGGAGGGAGTGGAAATTAATTTTATCTGGTATTCCAATTGAAGGTCGCAACAAAAGGAAGTGTTTTCAACCAACTACGCTCTACTTTCTGACTTTTTATCAAAATTAGGGATTTGGGGATTTATAACGCAACCAGTATCTATCTATCTATCTATCATTTCGGTTTAAGAAAATGCTCTTTATCTGCACTTGTTTATTGCTTTCCTGGCTGAAGTGCTCAAAAGCGAGCGTATGTCGGTGGTTGCACGTTTCTCAACTGTTTTTGAGGGGGCATGGAATACCCTTTAGGAAGGAAAAGCTTGATGATACTTTCTGGGCACTGCAAACTAAACAAACACATGCAACGCATGGGGTTGGTAGAATCACCACCTTGCAGATGATGTTACACCGACGAAGAGACGGCACAGCACTTACCTTGTGAATGTTCCGCTCTAGACGAACTGACACGATCCATGGTGAAGGTACCCTGGACGGACATGGCTGCGTTTAGGGCTTCCCCCATCCTTAGGTTCATCTCACGCCTGGGGGTGGAATAGCTTCAGTGACGTTGAGGGGTCGGACGACTCTCTCTAGTCCGGAAGGTACTACAAATGGTCCGATTTGAGGTGAACCCCGTCCACCCTCCTCTCCAAATCCAGAATTCAGACCATGCGTCTTCCTACAACAACTTTCAGCCATTAAGACTCTGATTTTTGGGAAGTTATATCTGTCTAGGGGTATGAAATTCCCCTCCGTATACGAATATTCAGTTACCTTTTACCGAAAACTACTCTGAGGATGCTAGAGGTATTAAAGAATGGTTATCAAATATTCCTTTGTTGAGGAATATTTTTCTGGGGGATATTCCATACCCCCTCTCGGCATTCACACGATATTTTACGATAAAGGTCTACTAAATGTGAGAGTACGGCTGGGGTATGGAATCCTCCTTAGGATCACTCCACATTTCCCTTTGTGTTTGTTCGACATTAAAACTATAGGAGGTAGTAAACATAAATCATACAAAACAAATTCATTTGTATTCTAATAAATCTTTAACAGACTGCCTGGCTTTGTACAAAAACTCGCGCACTGCAAGTAAATTAATAGCGAGGGATTTTCGTATTACAAAGCTTAATTAAAACGTTGATTGTTGGAAGGTACGCGCGCAATAACCACGTTCCATAATCTGGTTTATATGACGCTATTGTTTCCGTTGTACAAGTAGACACTCGAAGCAATTTTTTTTAGCTAATCTAATTTTCCAAATTTTCATATCCATTGACGGACGTGCCCCACGCTATCAGACGCTTAACGGCAAAAGTCGGACTCCCTGCATGATTTATTTTCCTTGCTGCGGGTGTGATTTCGAGCTTTTATGTTTCGACAATTCCCACCGGGGTCATTAAGGAGGTATCTCGCATTAAGAGGCAAAGAACTTGCTATATAAGTTAAATTCGGTTAAAAAGAGACGTTTTCGTGCATAAATGCGAATTTCCAAGTCCGTTAAAATGAAGCTTTGATCCGCACTGCATTTCTGTAATCGAGTTGAATGTATAAAATTACTACAGATGGAAAGTTGAAACGTTTTCTTTGCGTTACAGGATACTCCATTCAGGATATATGGATTTTAATTGCAAGTCCACCACCAAGGGGAAACTTAACGTGCGGATCGCCATTCCACGTCTTAAAATGTGCTTCAGTGCACATCTTCGAGATTCCTGTGTAAGCAGCCCTGAATGCGTGTAGCAGAAAAGCTTCATTTTACAAGAGAAAATGAGAATTTTTCTGGTGCCGCTGTTCTACTACGCGCTGGTTACCGATTTAATTCAAGGTAAGTCTATAAGTAAATTTATGGTCAGCAACTCTGATTTTTAATCTCTAAGGATGGTGCACTGGTGCAGGACGCCCTAATCGTGCGAGATTACACGTTTTCCGATAGGGCGTTGTAGGCGGGTGCACCATCCTGTTGAAACCAACAGTTTCCGAGTTTTGTTTTTGTTTGTGTGCCCTATTACATACTTTGTTGTATTCATAATAAAATTCTACTTAATACAGTGTATAGTTCTTTTACGGACCATATAAAAATAAACTTGATGATGATTTCTGCGGAACGAAACGTTGTTCAAATAACATTATTCTGACGTCTTCGTATATTCTATGGTTTCGGAGATCCTCACAATATAATTATTGTATGAGGTTTTGATGAAGAAAGTAGTAATATCTGAGTGACATGGCTTGATGTGTCTTTCGAGCACCCTTTTCAGAAGCACATAGCACATTTCATCAATATTTATAAGCCGATTCCTACATTAAACTACCTTTCATTCATCGTAAAATTTAATTGAAAGCTTAACCTAAATTTATCGGATGGGGAGCCGTAAATCCGACAAGTCTAATCGCGTAAATTGTGAAGCCCATACAGATCGATCTGACCAAACTGATAAATTTCTTTTTATTTTCAGCATCTGGTTTAAAGTGGGTGAGGGTGAACGTCCCCCAGTACCGTTCTCCCGGCGAATCCGCTCAGTTACTTTGCGATTACGATTTAGGCAACGACACGCTGTACTCGATCAAGTGGTATAAGGACCACGAAGAGTTCTACAGATTTGTGCCGATGGCGCGACCGCAGGCGACGAGTTATAAAATGGAAGGCGTCCTCGTGGACGTAAGTAAATTTACACTTGTGAATATGGTCACGTTTTTCTGTCACTCTGTAATTTGTGTTGAAATGTACAAGCATCTCAATATTACTGCACGATTTGCATTTTGTGTTTCCATAAATTGGTTCAATATATCAGAAATGCGAACGCGGCCGTTGAATTTTAAGCAAAGTGTTGCTGCAGGGTTTTCCGTTTTCCTTTATTAAGTAGAAATACGGTTGCCAAAAATTATAGGGGGATATCAGGGGGAAAATACGATCAACTACAGTTTGAGGATTTATGAAAAAATTTGTTTTGCGCTCTCGTGAACGAAAGAGATACAATATTATAACGTAAATTAATTTATAACAGTTGTTATTATTTATCACTTACAAGTACATCGAAGTTGGAACATCCTCCTTCGTTCTCAATCGCCGATGACTAATCCTTCATGGCGCCTCGATGTCTATCGAGATTTCTGGAATGTTCGCTACAATTTGCAGAAACGAATTTTAGTGCAACGCGATCTGGGGGGGGGGGTCCTTATTACCACTGGCATTCTAATGATAGCTTTCAGAAGGAGGTTATGGAATACGTTCCTGTAATACACCCCCTTCCCAAGCAAATTAGGGCGCAATTACTTTTTTCCCTATTACGCATTGTGACGTGCCAACATTGAGCATGTTTTTCGAATGAAATTGGTGCATAAGGCATGAGTTAGCATGTAACCGGTCCTCTTGCTATGATTGTTCATTTATTGTTACAGATGGCCTTATCCGATAGAAAAAAGGTCGTGCTGCGAACTGTAAATTTGAAAACTAGCGGAGTGTTCCGATGTGAAGTGTCCGCGGAGGCGCCGTCGTTCTCATCGGCTCAAAGTGAGGCGCGAATGGAAGTCGTATGTAAGTTTTTCGCACTACGTTCAATTTTCGTATCGATCCAATGGGTAATGTTCTGTTACGGCTAACAGAAATGGATAAAATCGGAAAATTCAGTTCATTTCCTTCTTCCACTACTAAATAATGCGTTTATTGCCGAGCTGAATTGCGAGGACAGTAATTGTGCAACACAATTTTCCTCAAATATGTGTTTTACGGTCTATCTTGCGTTTAAAAATGTTTACGGTAGCTTTGGGAGTAAACCCTGCGCCTTAGGCTGTCAACAACTCCGAAATGTAACCAGAAATTTGGTGAAATTACTCTCCGGCAATAAAATTAGGGAGTGCGCGCAGAAGAAAACTTACTAAACAAAATTGTATTATTTTAGAGGTAGCTAAAGTTCGAGGAATGGAAAGCTTTCGCTTTTTAAATTTCAAGGGTGGAAAATGAGCATTTATTGCTTATTTTAACAAACATTTCTAGTAGTCATCACCTTTATACGAGGGTTGCTGGTAATGTTTTTCTACTGCCATGTCACTTTTGAATTTCACAAAACCCAATATCATTGTAACGGGGAAACTTTCTTCGATTAATTCTGAACGCGAAATAACTCTCTAGACAAATTCCTTTCAAATAAATGGAATTTTTGTGGGGTGTATGACAAAACGGCTTTAATTAGATGTCCATGAACCTAGCAGAGCAAGGTCAGCAGAACACAATCAAACATATTGCATAATTAGGTGCTAATTAAGTGCCCTATCCCCGAGTTAAATGCTCCTTTTTTTAAATTATTACATGTTCTGCCAGGTTCATATGAACTCAGCAGAACACTACATCAAAAAACCAAGAAAATGAAAAGTGAACTAACTATAATTAAGTGCTAATTAGGTGCTAATTAAGTGCCCTATCCTCGAATTAAGTGCCCTATCCCCGAGTTAAATGCTCCTTTTTTTTTAAATTATTACATGTTCTGCCAGGTTCATATGAACTCAGAACACCATCAAAAAACCAAGAAAATGAAAAGTGAACTAACTATAATTAAGTGCTAATTAGGTGCTAATTAAGTGCCCTATCCTCGAATTAAGTGCCCCACCCCCGAGTTAAATGCTCCTTTTTTTAAATTATTACATGTTCTGCCAGGTTCATATGAACTCAGCAGAACACTACATCAAAAAACCAAGAAAATGAAAAGTGAACTAACTATAATTAGGTGTTAATTAGGTGCTAATTAGGTGCTAATTAGGTGCTAATTAAGTGCCCTATCCTCGAATTAAGTGCCCTATCCCCGAGTTAAATGCTCCTTTTCATTTAAATTATTACATGTTCTGCCAGGTTCACATGAACTCAGCAGAACACTACCTCAAAAAACCAAGAAAATGATAAGTGAACTACCTATAATTAGGTAAAGCTCGAAAGCTCTGTAGTTGTCGCGTCCCACACAAATGGACGACTTAATATAACCGTGTGCTTATTTCTTTCGATCATCTTCAGAAACTTTTCCAGAAATCTGCTCATAATTTACAGATCATTTCTAATAGCTAGTCACAAGTAAAATAATGCACTTTATGAGTGTTAGTAAACTAAAAGCCATGTCTAATAGATACCTAACGGTGTTTAGCCCCTCTCCCATCTTATCGCATCCATTTTCCGGTAACTAGATTTTCAGAAGTGTACCATTTTCATTGATCTATTGCCGGGAAGGCAACGTGAAGGAAACCTTTCAGTGTATTCATTGAAATAGCTTTCACAAGCAGAAGAGTAGGTATTCATCATAATTCCGATTATAAACGAGTCGCTAAACATAAAACCGACTCTTCTAAAACACGAGTATGAAAGGGATCTCTCTCAAGCCGGTATAGAAGTCAAAAAGCTAAAAGTATACACTTCAAAGTGGTCTTAACGTGAACGTTTGTTACAAATAACTTTCGGAAAAATGATTTTGAAAGTAAAAAGGAAAATAAATAGAATGATGTCGGTATTACGCGACCCTTTTTAGAACAATTTAGGTGTGGAAGACTAACGACGTTTAAAATTCCATTATCTGAAAATTGAGAGACGCTCGTAATTTCCTTGATGTATCGTCAAGGAAACAGTACTCTCGCCTTTTCATTTTTTTGTTTCGACGCGTTTAAAAAATATCGCCGCGAATTTGTTATGGTAGAGTAAGTACAAAAAGGTACGATCTCTTAGAAACTTTTAAAACAAACACTCAATGCTCTCCTCCATCATAAATTCAAACAGATACTTGAATTGGGAAATTGGAAAAGTTTCGAAGAACGCATTTTCCAATTCGCTGCTTTATCAATTTGACGTTATTTACTCAATGACTACTAGAGATTTTTAAATTAATCGTTAACCGCGTTTTATAAACGTTATGCACATTTTTGCAATTACCAAACTTGTCTGAGCGGTTAGATTGACGTTAGATCTCGTGGCAAACACAAAACTGTCAGAAAAAAACGCACCAGATTTCCATGCCCTTAGAATCCTGGCTTGACGTCTTGTTATGCGTTTCTTTCTACCGCTGATACGGCAGTCAATGTAGAACTTGGTACGTCAAAAAAAAAGATTGTCGAGTATAAACTCACCGTTTCAAGATAATAACAATAATTTTCACCTAGCCCTTATAATTCATGAAACTTTGCAAATGACAAAGGCTTTGATCAATCAAATTATTGTTGTTATAAAATTCCATTAGACTTCTTTCGGATTACTGAAGGGTGTAGTCTCTTCCATGGCGTGAACTGTAAGTGGAAAAGAGTGTTAATTAAGAAATAAACCTAATTAACTCCGATCATATCTTTAATTTACCTTATCTATCTGCTAGTTCAAATAAAAGAACTAGTAGTGTTACAAATTTTCCTACTTCTTCTGGTTAATTAAATTGCGGGTAGTTCTTGTTATGCAGTTATATTGATATGCCTCGGCTGCTCGTCGGTTAACAACCCTCTTTTGGCTTCAAGGATACGAGTAAAGCTATAAATAATAACTCAATAATCTCGATTATAGTTTAAATTTGTTCTTTCTTTGTTGTAAGATAACAAGTATTAGCAGTTGGAGTTAAGGGGGAACAATCCTGTTAAACCACATTCATTTTCAAAAACTTTTATCGTTCAATTAAAATGGCAAGATTATTACGCAGGTAATTGTTTATAAATATCTTGATTGTTTACGCACTAGGAGTTTCGTCTTGGGTCGCTTTTCCGGTGTGTAATGATCTGGTTCTGCCCCCAGGACTTTGATGTAGAAATCTAATTATCCTCCCAGGTGTGTTTTGCACGGACCGGTCACAGAATCGACGCGCTACGTTCTGTCGCGGAAATTCTTAAGTATTTCGTCGTATTCTCGAACGTGCTGCCCAAAATCTTCTTCAGCGGTACGGTAGATGCTAGGTGGCGTAATTTCGTTCTTCTAGGTATCGCCTCGAAGAAGATTGGAAGTGGTGGTGTAGTCGGCGAACTGTACGTGCCGAGCGTTGAAGTCGCCCACGGCATTGGGTAAGGTGGATACAAATTTCAGCAGTTCGACGGGGATGGGGTTGTAATAACAGAAAAAGGTAACTTCAGATCTACATAGAAAAGTGAACAGTAGGCCACGCATTCGAGATGTTGGAGACGCGGTGGTAGTAAGAAGAGGGTTAAGTTGAGTTGGTGGACTAGAACTCCGGACTGGGTCGAGAGGGCTGTTTCGAGTAAAGGGGTTTTAATTTGCAGCGGCTAAGGTGTCACGAGGGGGAAATTTAGTTTCTTTTATTGTAAGGGTATGGATATTGTCGGAAAGGAGCAGGACATTGATCAAGGGGCGTTGAGGAGGACATCGCGAGCTCCATTGCATGTAGGGCGAGGAGGTTAAGTGTCGAGATTACGTATAATCCCCACTTATTTCTCGAGATTAAGTATAATCCCGATTACATCATTTGAGCTACCTTGTCCGTTCTACGCTTTCCTAATGTAAATGTTTATATGAATTTACGAGTATAAGGGAGAATCACCGAATTTTTCTTACCAGACTCCCAAACCCCCCGCGATACGTCCAGTCACAAAATGTTTACTGCACTCAATGATCTGATAATTGTTGATGGTAAGCCATTGCATTCTCTTATCCTACTTTAAAAATTGTCACGAAAGTGTTGAGGAGTATAGGAGGGTGTCCTTAGTTAAAAGAAGTATCCAATTCATGAAAATTATAATGAGAGAGCTGGAGGTGAACGCAGAGGAGGTCTGAAAAGAATAATCCCCTTTCAGGAAAATCCCTAGATAAGTTTGCGTAACGTACACTACACTGAGAAATTGGCAATCGACAACAGCATTCTTTATTAATGCTACACGAGGAACTACTTCGGAAGCTGTTAAAGGAGAGAAGTACAATAAAAGCTTAAAAGGCTGAAACACAATTACGGTTTTCCGATATTTTACATAATTTATGATCTGTGATTGTGACCCGCTTCACGTTTAACTTGAGCAATCAATCTGCCATATAGAATGCCTGATTTTGGTAACGTAAAGCTACTAGTTTGACATAATAATCGGGGATTGGAAACATTTCAAAACTAAACGCGTAAGAGAGCGACGCATAGGATTTACAAGCGCAGGAATTGCCGAAAAAGCGCTTTATCAGCATTTCTGTTGACGGTTCTTTCATATTCTACTTTTAGGCTAAAGTATGATTTGTTAAGACTGTCAAGAGAAACGCTGTAAAAATATAAAACACAGACGACTTCAGCTTCAACTGAATGACTTTTTACTACAGCAAAAGTAATGCGATTAGTTGATATTTTCATTTTACCTAAAAGGAACGAAGTGCTGAACGTTTCCGGAACGTTTTTACCATTCTTGGATCGATGCGGGATTTCAATGTTGTGCTATTTCTGCTTCCAGATTTGCCGAAGGAGGATCCCATCATAACTGGCGTAGAACTGCAGTACCAAATTGGAGATGAAATTAATCTCAATTGCACATCGGGAAAAAGCCACCCCGCGCCCGTTCTGCATTGGTACATCAACGAACAGCAGGTATCATCAACTACATTCTTTCTATTCCATACACCCCGGTTCGATTTTTCTACCCCTTTCATGTTTCATGTGCCCTTTACTATTCACCCAATACATTGAACGTATTTTACCTATAACTATTGACGTACATCCTTTAGATTTTGACCTTTTTTTATAGAGGTTTGGGAAACGGCTACTCTTTTCAAACATTGTGGTGTACGCACTAACGCTCTAAACGCCCCCCCCCCCCGCCCCAATAAATAGACATAGAATCTTGACGGAAGATTTTAGAATTGGAGGTGTGGGGTTATGGAAACCCCCACAGGATCGCCAAATCCAATGGTACGCCACATATCTTTCTCCCCCAGGATCTGAAACCAGAATCAGATTGTGCAATCCTCCTAGGAAAAAGAGAAATGTGACTGTTGTCCTACAGAAATGATGAATGATTAACGTAATACGTTTGGGGAGGAAGGGAGGGGGGGGGGGGATGAAACATTCTACGGGATCGAAAATTCCAATAGTACCCCACATACCTCTCGATAAAGTTCTCTCCCAGAACCCGAAACCTCTCTCCCTATTCCATACCCCCCAGACCCCCTGACTCCGCTGTCCCTCAAAACGTTCAGCTATAAACACTCTTTCCAAAAATGATGGTGTCAATACTAGGGGCTCGAAACGCTTTGGGGAAGAACGTTGTTCCCGGGTTTGGGTGGAAAGAGGCCTAGCATCTTTACGGAAGTGTGCAAAACCAGGGGATCTGGGGTTATGAAATCCCCCTAGGAAAATAAAAAACGCGACTGTCTTCCTTCAGAAATCATGAAAGAAAAACGTAATACGTGGGGAAGGTGGTGAATGGAACTTCCTGCAGAACCGGAAAATCCAATGATACTCCACATACCCCTCGATAAGATTCTCCCCCAGAACCTGAAATCTCTCTCCCTTTTTTCCTGAGGGTATTCCATCCCTCACAGACCCGCTCTTTCTCAAAACTTTCAGTTATAGACTCTTTCCAAAAATTATGGTGTAAATACTATGAACTCTAAATGTTTTGGGGAAGAACGCAGAACCGGGGGTCTGGAATACCTCCTAGGAAAGAGACATAGATCTTTACGGGAGAATACAGAACCAGGGGGCCTGGGGGTTATGGAATCACCCCAGGAAAAAATGCGACTGTCTTCAGAAATTATGAAAGTACAACGCAATACGTGGGGTGGGGGGGTAATTGAATATCCTACAAAATCGAAAAATCCAATGGTACCCCACATACCTCTCGATGAAGTTCTTCTCCAGAACCTTAAACCTCTCTCCTTTTCTTTCCACGCCCCCCATACTCCTTGCTCGCCTACGCTCTCCCTTATTACGTTTAACTATACTGACTCTTTCCAAAAAATCATGGGTTCTAACGATTTGGAGCACCGCCTCCTCCGCCCTAGGGGCTCATCTCTGGAATAATCTCTTTCTCCGTCATTTTCTTCACCTCCGGCCATCGGAAGGTATGTAATACTCGCAAAGAAAGCAAAATTCGATTATCGTTTTTGAAATTGCCACGGGCGACTTCAGGGCTCAGCGCTTAGGGAGAGAACGTAGCACAGGGAGGTCTGGTGGGAGTGGAATTCCCCCCCCCCCCTCCTCCCCGTATATGTACATTTCATTCGTATAAAGTATACCTACGGGTGATTTCATGGTGATTGATGGGAAAAGGTCATAACAATGTCTTTTACTAGGGGGGTACCACATATTCCAATTTAGCGTATACAAATTTTAACGCTAAGACAAGAAATGATTGCCGCCTGCCTTTTAAAAAAAAACATCCCCCTCTAATCCATAATTCACGTCCCCGAGCAATTTAGTGCATCACAAAACGGGCAGAAATTAACGTGTTAAGGGCTTGTCGGTTCTTGAGGCCAGGTGCACGTAAATTTCTGTACTTACCCAGAAAAAAATAAAAGTCACATCCTAAACTGTACACCTTTTCTCAACTCAGTAAAACCTGAACATGCGAGTTTCTAAATCAACCAAGTTTTAATAAAGCTCGATTAATTAATTTCAGGTTGTAAGCCCCGAGGTTTTAATTTACTACCCTCAGGTACAACACCGGCACGGCTTGATGTCTGTTACTCTCGGCTTGAGGTTTTCACTCAGCAGTCGTCACTTCCTGGGGGGCTCCATGAAGGTGAAATGCGTAGCGTCCGTTTCGCCGGTCTTATGGAAGGACGGTAGAGACAGCGTAGTTCAAAGTCTGCCCGTAAAGGACATGAGAGAGGCCCTGCTGCTTGGTGAGTACAATTAATACTTGCTTATCGTCATTTAAAGAACGAAGATGCGTCGCGTAATTAGATCGCGGTTTTTTTCGACGTTGAATAGCGCCATTTTATTCCATCTACAAAGCAAACTGCGCGAAAAGCATATAATGCTAATGTTTCTGTTGAAGGGGCATTACGTCTCTTGCAAGGGCGGGTGTGGGGAACGATCATTAGCATTGTCTCCATGCACAGCTTGTATAAAATTGCTTTTTAAATGTAGCGCGAAACTTCACATTTTTTCCTGTTTGTAACAAAATTGGCATTCTAAGCGAATATATTAAGATTTTCTCTCCCACAGTTTTTGGAATTACGAGGGATTCCACTAAATCCTCCATGAAAAGGTCATTAGGAAATTAATTCTTTCTTGTAGCCCGTTTTAACATTGAAGTTCAATACTTAAAGTTTGAATTTGCGCCTGAAGTATGAATTCAGAGCCTTGGAAAGTGTTAAAAGGTTTTCACTAGTTGGGATAAGTCTCCTAAAGACCCTCATAACTTTCTCTCAGGTTTTAAAACATCCGCGTTTAATACACTTTAAGACTGCCCATGACATCTATGAAATATACATCCCAGGAAGGAAGGTCAAGATCCAAACTTTCCTTTCCCGAAAACTATCCTAAGAAAGAGTGTTAAGGGCTTTGAATGTACTGGTAGAGGATATTGCACACTCCCTAGAATTGGGGTTTGCTACATGAGCAAATCAAATTGCGTTTCAGGACAGTTCCAACTTCGATGCGCTTGTGTTATGTTATAAATAATAATTATACCATTTTAGATTGTTGTAAATTTGTTGTTAATTGGTTATAATAAAAAAAATCACGTAATTAAATTTACGTTACACTATTTTAAGAGCGTATTCATTTCTTAAAAATTTCCTTGGCAAAGGTAAGGGGTACCGGGTATAAAATACCCCTCAACAAGGAAGAATCGATAACTATTCCCTATTTCCGCTAGAATTCTCATTGTGGTCTTCGAGAAGAGGTAATCTTATCCTCGTATATTGCAAGGAGGGGAGTCTTTCTCTCCCGGGGGGTATCTCATACTCAATCGGACCCGAACACTACTTTAAAGACGTAATGAGTATTTTTTTAAATTGTTTTGACATTGATCGGGCTTTTAAATCTTGTCACTTAGCACCGGAGGTCTGATGGGGCTCACTCAATGCATTTTTAAAGACATTCAGTTCTCATGTTTCACGTTTAAGTATTTTAGCAGCCGTTAATTACCTTTACTTGGTGTATAAATTCCACGAGCTGCAGCTGTTGCATTAAGGAGAAGTTTCGTGCAAGCAATCGATATTAACCCATTTTTCCTTTGTTGCAGTGAGAAGCATGGGATATAAAGTAGAGACATCGCCTGCAGTCTTACTAATAATCACATCGGCATTACTTCTTTGTGCCAGATCTAATTAAAAGTGAGATTTTACTAGCTAAAATAAGAAATTCATAAAATATGGTGATGCGGTTTCCAGACCTAGTTATAAGACCGACAAGGCAGTAATGTGGTTTAATGACTTTGTGGAGAAAATCGTTTAAATGACGACCTAATAATGCGTGATCATTATCTGTAATCGTAAATGTAGTGTGATAAACGTTTATAGTGCCCTTAACAAAGAACGTGTTTATTATGGATACTGAACTTTCAGTTACGAACCAAATGTGGCTTTTTATTTTCACAAAAAAAAACCTTTTCCAATTAAGTCTAATGGAAACATTTTAGAGCAGTTATCCAATTTTCATTGCACTGTAAGTGATAAACTACAACAAATTTGGGTATTACGATAATGTATAAATATTTTCCTCTTATGTATATAATTAGTAATTTTCCAAAGAGATTTATTTTTATAAACTGCCATCAAATTTAATCGACTGAAGGCACTGAGGCCCTCTGAAAACCTTTCGTGTGATGTTCGTGAAAAATTTTTTGACGGAATCAGTGCACGATAGTCGCGTTTGTAAGAAAATCGTTCTACACGAAAGCAGTATATTTACTTCCCTTAAATTTATTCAAATTAAAGTTTAAGCTCAATTTAGAAATTTATGCGTTACGTTGACCTGGAAGAAAAACATTTAGAACTTCAAATAAAATCAGTTTTTCGCGAGTAAAATTCTGCTCGTATTGTACGATTTTCGATTGTATATTGTACTGATAAGTTGTAAGTATTTTGTTGTTGCTTGAAAATGTAGCCAAAACGTGCAGGAGAGGACAAGTGTTATTTTCTGTCAGGTATCGGCAAGGAGCTTATAGCACATTTGTATTGTACGTACATGTAGCAAAACGGTTCCATTTCTACTGAATCAACTGTAATTTAGATCTAACGCTATACATATCCCTATATTTTCAATGACCATTGTAACATGTTTTAGGTTCTTCTATGTAATACCGATCTAATAATTTGTTTTGTAAATAAATAGGTATCTCAATAAATCAAACTTGTGATCTTTCAATTTCTAATTGCTCCAATTAAAATTGGAATGATCGAATATTCAAATACACTTGGCAAAAAAGTTTGAATCAGTTTACAGACTTACAAAGTGTTAACACAATGTCCCTTAATCGAAAAAGAAACATGTGGTATGGAAAAGGAACACAATACTATTGCTTTGTGGTATTTTTGCTGATGCGAGTTCTCTGGTGTAAACGCAACCGAAACAAAAAAAGGTCATGACCCTGGAATTTCCCAAGTCATGTCCTTGGGATTTCCCTATGTGGTTGAGAGATTTAATAGAACGCTGAAAACACGAATGTGCAAAACTTTACTTATTCTAATTCACATCGATGCATCGATGTATTGCAGGATTTTCAATTAGCCTATACACTTTAGGAAGAGGAAATACAGCCGGCTACTACACTACGCCCAATTTACCCAAGCGTATAAGATTTACAGCTCTCAAAAATGTGTGCATTATTGTAGGTTGTATATACAGGGTGGAACGTTTCAGAATGTTGAATTTTTAATAACATCTGTCACCGGGGGTGGTTTCGCATTAACTGAATGCCGAATCTGTTGAATCCTTTAACTGATATGTAATAGTGGCGAACAAGTTCCAGTAAGAGATTGTTTGGTAAAATATAAAATAAAAAATTAATTGCGAATCCCTGTATACGCTCAATTTTCCTTGTTTCCACTCGAAAGACATCTAAGATACTTAGTACAGTAAGACCTTTATGTGAATAAAAACGATTCTCTTTGTTTATACAACACCGTGACGGCGATTATTCTAGGGATTATTTCAATTTTTCTTCGGGCTATTTTCGGAGACTTAATTCGCGTCGCGAGTGAGTGTCTTCCATAAAAGACACAAAAAGTTAACGCCTTCTGGCATTAGTTACCCTTAATTCCGCCCCGTCGAGATGCTATTATTGTTATGCAAAAAGAATGCTCTGCTCTCTCGTAAAAATAATCTAATTATCGTCTCATCTTCCGTTATTAGCGAAATCCTCTTTTGCACTAAGCTTTTCCAAATCCGACATAATAATTAGAACAACCGATGACTAACTACGTATGGTAAACCCCGTGCTTTGTAGGTAATTAGCGCCGACATTTGTGAGACGTCTACATGGGGAGATTACTTGGAGGGTAGAATATATCCGAAAGGGAACGACGTAAGCCTCGCTGTCGATAGCTGTGTCGCTCTTACCTGACGGTTGAATGTGTATCGTGTTTGTGATATTGATCCATGTTAATCTTCCGGAAAGGCATTATCATTGCGATCAGCAATTGAAACACTACGGAAATTATAGTTCCATAATACGTTTATGTGTGTTTAGGTCAATAATGCTTAGTGGAAGTCCGCCAAAAACACTGAATGTACAAAAATATCGAGCCTCTACCGCTAATTGCAAACATCAAACTTGAAAGTTAACGAATAATCCGAAATTAATTGGAACTTCGAACTTAGGATCGTTATACTGCAAATAGCCATTAACAAGCCTCTTTGAAAGCAATTTTGATGCTGCATTAATTTCGTGTTCCCAATTTTGTATGATAAATTTGTAATACGAAAGACTATGGTAGATGGTTATGCTGTATTGTAACATAAGCATAACACACCGTGAAGTATAAAGAATTATCGTAAAATTTGGAATTCTTAGAGTTAATCCGCTATTAGTCTACAGATATTTATCTCAGGGCAGAGATTGAAAAAAGATATTGACGTAGACGTCATCTAGATGTAAACTTTACAATTTTGTAAATTGCAAATTAGTGTTTTCCGTCGTAGTAAAACCGTTTCAGATGAAAAAATCTTTTCAAAGACTACTTCAGTTAATTAGTTAAAGGATCGCCGCTAAAGCCATTGCGGCAAAAATTAAGGACTGCTAATTATTAAGTTTGAGACCAAGCGTATCGTAATTGTTGATTGCAAATAAAATTCTAAGCGGTGCAGAGTGGCTGCACTTATTTAACCTTTCGTCTTTCTAAATAAATCATTTTGGTGCGAGAGCTTTTATGTTGCACTAAAACGGCGTAATTTCTTGTTGAGCGCACAACACCAGCAACCAACATATATTTCGGGCAGTTTAGGGTAATTTTTTAAATAAATTTCCCTTTTGTGATAGTTTTGTCTGTCTGTTTGTCGGTCTGTTCCTCGTCTAGCTCGAGAACGGAAACAGACAACGATTTCAAAGTTTCACCAATCGATTTCTACGGCTATTGAATTATAATGATATCTATTGAATATATTGAAAGAATCAAAAATATAAACTAGACCAAATGGATTCGAAGCATCCAAAGAACTCAAGCACTATAACTATAATGTAATAGACTTATCCTTCCTGGGGGGGTACTCCATACCCCCAGACCCCCCTGAGCTGTTCATCCCCAAAATGTTTGCAACAATCGGAATGCATATGAGTACTCAAATTTTCTATAAAGTATTCCTTTTCTCAGAGATATTCATACGCCACAGTCTTAGAGATGAACCACCGGGGGGTCTGGGGAGTACACCTCTCAGCACTAAAAAAATCGCTTACTTCTTCCAGAAAATTTTAAGAATCCGAAGGAACTTATAGATTTGTACTGAAGAGCCAGTATCTAGTACCACGGTTCAATAAATTCCCGCCCCCCTACTTTACGCTAAGAAAAAACACCGCTACCTCAAAATGGAAAGCAATAGTTTCAGCGGTTATGCACACGTTTAAGGCTAGACTTTAATGGTAGACAAATGAAACTGGCTGCAATTTACGAAGAAAAATTCCAGTGATATGTAAAGTAGTTTCGTTTGTGTTGCGATGAATAGGTGCACATAAATAAACAAGCACTCCCACAGGCAATTACGTTACTCTAAAATGCATACACACAACTTCTGATTTATGTTCCCTAAGCAAATAAATGCATGAGGGATGAAATTAAATTCTTATTTATTGTTTATATTAGCCTGATCTGTAAATTACATATGTAAGTGATATTCAATAACAAAATAATACCGATTGGGCTGCTCTACAGACGTTCCTAGGTTGAAAATGTATACTGTAGCGAATATTGGATTGGAAGTCTCCGGGAAAACTGCTTGAGAGTCATGGAACCCAATTATACCAATATGAATCGAAGAAGTTTTGATTGGCAAGGTGCTAGTGAGTGCTAAACAACTAACGCCTGTTCGGATAGTGAATTTTAACTCTCCAGTGACCCCAGTAGCTATATAGTCACGCGTTGTTAGAGTGATGACACTTTAAAGTGCCCAGAAAGGTTTTAAGCGATGATCACAGTCTTTTTAGCCAAGGTAATAGGTTAATTTTCACCTACCAAGACGTGTTTGCATCAGGTTACCATGGGTTAAAGCGGCGAAGCTGAGAAGATAATCGGCGACATGGCTAGTCAAGGATTAATTGAACCATTCAAAAGCCCTTGGACTTTACCTGTGGTGCTAGTAAAAAAGAAAGGTGGCAGCACGAGGTTTCGCACAGATGAAATGTTTTTTCCCGGTCGATCTCAGCAATTTTTTTTCTGACCTCAAAAAAAGCAAGTGTATAACCTTCCTTTTTTTACCAAAAATCGACTACTCCAAAATTTCTCGGGAAAACACTTTTTACTTTTTTTTTGATGCGTAGAATCCAAAACGATTCGTACTTTTTCTATTAGACCTCTCAATTAAAAGTTATGGACAAAAAACCAATTTCGAAAAAAATTCAAAGGGCTGTAACTTTTGATCTAATAGCCCAATCTTCAAACCGTGTGAAATTATGGATTCTACGGGCCAAATTTTACAAGAAAATGTTTTTTTCGCGGTCGATCTCAGACAATTTTTTTTCCGGCCTCAAAAAAAGGTAGTGTATAACCTTCCTTTTTTTACCAAAAATCGACTACTCCAAAATTTCTCGGGAAAACACTTTTTCTTATTAATTTGGGTGCGTAGAATCCAAAACGATCCGTACTTTTTCGATTAGACCTCTCAATTTAAAGTTATGGACAAAAAAACCAATTTCGAAAAAAAATTCAAAGGGCTGTAACTTTTGATCTAGTGGCCCAATCTTCAAACTGTTTGAAATTATGGATTCTACGGGCCAAATTCTATAAGAAAATGTTTTTTCAATGTTCTTTCAAACCGTTCCTGGGGTTTGTAGGCTCATGTACCTAACAAAGTAGGTAGGTACCTATAATCTCCTCGGAAGGTCTCCAAGAGACTGATGGAGTTTGTGATAAGCCTCTAAACGCGTTCCAGAGACATTGAAGACGTCTCTGGAAAGGGCATACAAGGTGCTTATTCCAAAAAGGTAATTTGAGTAAAGGAAGTTAAAAACGGAGTTACAATAAATTATGTAATTTGCTAGGGTGAATATTTGATAGTTATAAATTAATGAGTGAATCGTTACACTGAAACAAATTTCACGAAGCAATTAATTATTCTATGTCGGAGGTAGGTTAAAAGGGAATGAAATTGTACGTTGCAAATTGTATCTCTGGTGGTCCCTAGCGATAATTACATCATTATTTGTTACTAATCCTAGTTTAATCTTAATTGCATTAAACATGCACTGCAACAGACCGTTAGTGTATTTTACAACATTTTACTCCCACACCGACGACGAATAATCTATTGTAGAAAATTATCCGGCCACATATACCTCTCGAATTAAAATGCCGTTTTTAAAAACACCCCGTGGATATCGAGGCGTTGTTGATTGTAAACTCACTTCCTTTGCGTTCGATAGCCAGCAAGTTGCAACCAACAAATATCTTTATATTGCTGCCCCCCTCCGCAGTTAGCTATGTTTAAGGGGGGGGGGGGGATTTTTGGTTCACTAAAAGTTCTTGTACATTTTTGAGGAATTGCATATTTTAATTGGGAACTCACGTTATCGTTCTTTTGTTTAAGTATACCCTCGCAGAAAACGATAAAGTCGACAGATAAGTGCCAAAAATTCATATGCGTTTAGTTTCAATGGGCAAACGCCTGTCTGACACGCCACATCGGTAATACTGTAATTGGTCACCGCGTCAAAAAGT